CTCTAGCCAAGTACTGTCACACCGGTGTCTATGATGCTTCCGTATCGGTTCGATGTCATCCATATCTGGCATGGTCCAATCAAAACCACTATCTTGCAAATGTGTATCAATTACCTAGTTTGAAACACATCATGGAAAAGTGCTTAACAAGGGTACACGTTGTACAAAAAGTTCTCACAAATCCCCATATAACGAGATAATACCAATACATTTATCAACGGAGACATTATATGGTGAGGTGGAATATACTATAAATTAAACATAAACATAACGAAAAAGAATTGGCCTCTCTTATGTTCATTTACGTGCCAATTACCACAACTAGGATCTATGCAACCACCTCAAAAGATAGTGCTAATTAACCAGAAATCTTGAAGCTTTCCTCCAGCTAAAAAGTAAGACTTATTCGTAGTGACGAAGTCTAACCAGATAGTGGACGTTGATCACGGAGTATCAGAGGCCAATCTTCTTTTTTGCTAAACGATCATCTTAACCTGAGAAGAATGAGCGTTTTGAGCATGGAAGTACTGCCTTTTCTTCTTGAAAACTGCAAACCTTTTGGGAGGGAAGGCGTGCAACTTCTTCCGCAGGAGTGAATAACGTCGAAAGGAATATCTTCGACGAGGTCCTATTTTGACTCCGATGAGAGCTTCGAGGCGGGGTCGCGTAATCAAAAAGGTTTCAGTCAACAGGACGGTAGCTGCTCGTGCCAACTTATTTGCTGTCAATCATAGTTTCACCAGTGTTTAGTAGTTAGCTCTAAATGCAAAAACTATCTTAACAATGTTGTGGTTTGGTTCGTATGATCAGTTGGCACTAGGAAGCCAGCGTCCCTGCAAGAAATGACTCGTAGGGAAGAGGGAAGCGAGTATCTACACAACAATACAACACCCCAAACTACACACACCAAAACATGCTTCGAGAACAAAATTAAGAACAGAGCAAGCAACTCGGTAGAAAGTTCAAAAATGGAGATTTGCAGCTCCTTGGCATTATCAGATCCTGCCCCTGCAGCTTTATTCAGAGAGTGTATTGGAAGGAACCGATTGATAAAGGCGTTGAATCAACAGTACCATGATTGAATCAAACTTTCTAATTGAGTTAATCAATTAGTTAATACTGAAAATCACTTTTGGTGTGTTAAGACAAAGTCGTAAACTAGGACATAAACCAGCTTCCGAATACTCGAGGTGGGGGTCACTGCATGCAGCATTGCAATCGACGGAAATGATCGCGCCAATCTCAAATCATTTTCGATTTAACACACTTACGGTCGAACTGACAGTGTATAGAAGTAGTTTGAAGTGTTTTCAAAACCTCCCCACTAGATCGGGTAATCAAGTTTTCGAGTGGCTTCAAAAAATTTCCTTGACATTCCCCGACGCAACTAGTTTCTCGCGAAACTCGAAACGTTGAAACAATATGGAGCACTTTTGTAAATACGCATGAATCTCTGTACTTTACAGAAACCTGACGCTTTCCTCAGATCCAAAGACATTGCAAAGACAGACAGCTACTGCCTTCAAAGAGGTGAGGAACTCGACTGTGCGTTTCAATTTCTCGACAATTATCTCCTGACCTTTTTCCAACTTCCGAGACGGGCGTGCTTGAAAAACGCTCAGCAAAACTTAGAAACTAGACATTCTCTTGCATTCAAAAGCTGCCTTCACTCTCGATAACGGTTATCAAGTGAAGAAAGTTATAGTCCTTTGAATAGGGGGTACATTCGACGATTTTTCCAACTAGCGCGCTCTAGGCACAGCGCGCAACGCGATCGCGTTAAGTTAGCGCCGCTATACTGGAGCGCGAGACTCTTCAACTGTGTAGGGGCTGTACCTCCTTCAATGTTCTACTTTGCGGCCATTGTGGCAAAGAGTAAACGTCTTTAAAGGAAAGAAGGAGAAGCTAATCTGAGCATAATTGAATCTAGCATTTGGATCAAGCCGCATTTGCGTGGCAGCGGCGCTGCGTCTTTCTCGCACATCTGAAACTAGCATTTTTTGATATAAAACCGGATGTGCAGAGGACAAAAGGGGTCGTATCAGAGTTCATGTTCTGGAGAGGGGTCGTAAAGAGGCGGTTATTTCCTCGACACGATTTTTCCCGATTTTCTATTTTTGCCCATATGCTCCATAATATCTTCATCGAGGATCTTTTCAAACATATGACAGAAAAATAACTAACACAGAAGAGTCTGTAATTTCTAACCGAGTGCGACATTTCTTTTTTCAATAAAGGTGTGACGAAATAATGTTTCCCCTCAAAGGAACCTCAGTAACAGAGCGACCGCTTAAATAGATATGCGAACGGTTCTGCTAGTATGTGTGTGCTCTGTACCTAAAAAGCACAGCAGGAGTAAAAACCGGAGCTAATGAAAGAGAATCAGGCAACTCCTTTAAGAGAGCAGACTTGCTGAGAAGTTGAGCTTATCCTCATCCAAGATTGCTACCACGCCACCTTTTCCCAGCCAAGGAATATTCGAGCAGATTCAATCAACTTTTTCAAAAGTTTGGAGCAGCCCTTCTCACCACTACTGTTGAGAATATTCTTTGCGAGATTCTATGTATTTTTAACAGAAGACCAAAACTTTGTAAAATTTGTTGGAACTTGAGAGCTGTATTGGAGACATATGCGAGCGAGGAATACTGTATGTGCTATCTCCATCGCACACCTGCGTGTTACCAGTGCAGGATACAGTGTTAGGGTGGTACTGGTGAGAGCAGGATCTGGCCTACAGGCAAGATTTGGTGATTACCCAAAGTCATTCAGTGAGCTTCCCTCTTTTCCTATGAAGAAAAAACGATTTATGTGGTCTCTGTGAGGTTCAAGTATTTGTTATTGTACTGTACTTGGCACTATAAGTACTAACACTGGTGTTTTACAGCTCGCCTTTTTTTTCCGGAAAAACATTTCTTCGTTGCTTTACCGAGATGCGATAGATCCCCTTGCACAGTGGAAGTGGCAGGAAGTGAGACCTGAGACTCACGTATTCAGCTGTACTTCCAACGGCGTTCACAAGCTTCGACGTTAATCATGAGGAAGCAAACTGCTATAGGAGCTAACAGCCATCCTGTGGAAGCGAATAAGGCACTTGAGCTTCCGTGCACCTGCATTTACTTGTATTGGTTTCTCATCTGAATCGTCTGAAATCTAAAATTAGTTCCGCGTTTCACTGTCAACACTCTCTGCTGCGTCTGTACCCACAGTTCCTGCCCTCTGTAGCTCACCTTGGCAAACGAAACGAGAACTAAGTAAATTGTATCGTTATCCTTTTGATCATCAGATCTGTTTGGATTTCGCTTGGTCTGCTGTTTAATCTATCGCGGCTGCTCAACATCATGTGCGACGAAGCAGATTCAATGGCGTCCTCATGTCTCACAATAGAAAAAACGAAAATTTATGGGAAACAAAATGCATCATACACTTTGACTGAGATCGCCCTGCTTAAAGTCGTGAGTATTCTGTTGTTGTAGCATGCATAAAACTGTGGCGACATCGGTTAGCAAGCAACTAGTTCCTTTTCAATGATGCCTGTCAAAACCAAACCGAACAAAACACCAAGCCATTACGATTTGTGGAGCACCTTTCGTGAACGTCTCAGTATTTCTGAAGCAGGAAGCTAAACCGAATGGCATGAATTTTTCAGCTACGTTCCGACGATCTACAAATTCCTAGCGGTCTCCTGGCAGGGTTCTAGTGTACAGAATGCATCAAACAAGCAACAAAAATCGAAAAGAAATTAGAAATTCAATAACCAGATTATAAATAAAAACATGAGCTTTGAGAAATTGTTCAAATAAAACATTTGAGAAGAAATATTGACTGTTTGGAACCCGAATAACTCTGATGCTGCGAAGTCGTTGTATGGTCGAACAATTGGATCTGACTTATGTTTGGAGCAGACATGATATGCCAATGAATAGGGAGATTTCTTAAAAGAAGAGGTTCCTGAGACGTAATCATTTGATTAATAATGCGCGTCCTCCGAACGCTGATCACAAGCCTATCATCGGCTGAACGATTTGTTCAATGGTGTTATGAAACAAAAGAGGACAACGATAGTGGTCGGTAAATAGGTCTTTAAATGCAGATTTAGATGTTCATCCGAGAGAAAGCAAAACAGTAATTATAAGAAGTTCTCGACCCCAGGACGTCTCAGCTGCAGGTCCCGACCACTATCGTTACGCTCTTTTGCTTTACAACTCCATTCGGAGAACCTCTAGCCGATTTGGAAGTACATTTGAAAGCAGCGTTCGAGAGGACATCATAAGGAATACTGGGTGGTCACGGCCTTCTTAGATATCTTCCTTGTAATTCAGAATAACTCTTTCTGAAGGTTTCCCTTTATTCATTACCATTACTTCATGACTTGATGCTCCTTTCTCAACCGCCTACCACATTTGGTCAAAAGAGCACATTTCCTTTATCTGCCCTGAACAACAATAAACCCCATTTTGAAGTCATTTCCCAACCGCTCCGAATACTGCGTTGTGAATGTCGCTAAATTCATCTCCTGCATATCTCATGCGGTTCCCCTATTGAAGATTTTTCGACCCATGGGACTTACTTCCTGATGAATTGACTCTGATCTCACACTCGCAGCTCACTTGTACAGCTTCCACAAAGAGTTCTGGGTGTTTTTCACTACTGTTTGCTTCCTTATTAGTTCTATTATGTGGTATTCGAATTTTCCCCAGTATTAATCTCTGCATGGAACACGAATGTTCTAATTTCTTCAGATTTCATGATATCGTCTTCAAACGGCAGTAAATGCGGATTCAGACTATGCTGTAAGGGATGATTCCCTTGCAGCATACTCTGAGTCCACAGTTGTGATGTATCTGAATCCACAGTATGATGAAGGGAATGTACGGAACTGATGTTAGTTAGGCAATCCTGATGAAAAACTAATGCAAATAAATGCAGGTGCACGAAAAGTAAAACGCCTTAACCGTTTCCATAAAAGAGATGGACAGCGTTGAGAATTCATAGTGTCCGGAATGTTGTTCACTCTAGCAGCACTGTGCTTCCTCATGGTGAGCGTCGGAGCCGACGAATGCCGGTGCATTACAGGTAAGCGAGTGGTTCCCAGTTATCGCTTCTTGCCATGTCTACTGCAGTTGGATCCACCTCATATTAGTAGTGCAAAGGAGAAATAACTTCTTGCAGGAGATGAAAAAACAAGTTGCAAAACCCAGATATGGCAGATAATGCGTAAACTTCGCAAAAATCTGGTTAGTCTTTTTTTCAAAGTATACAGGAAGGAAAAACATAACAAATGACCCTCACGACATCACCAAATCTCTAGCGTGTGGGCTGGACCCTCCACCTCTCTACTCGCACCAATACTACCTAAGCATTCTAAAACCTGTGAGAGGAGGTAGCATATCTAGAATCCTTCGCCAAATTGTCTGAATAGCTCTAATATTATCACTTAATTTCAGCCAGATCCCGATCTGAAGTAGAATGCTTGCCACACTTCCCGAAGGATTAGTTAATTATATGGGCTCTATTTTTCACACCTTTCACGAAAGATGAATGCATCAGTTGAATTTCCAGGTCCCCTTTTACGAGCAGGTTTTTGCAGGAATGGGATGAAGAGATCACTCAGCTAGCTAAGAGTGATCCACTTAGGGCACCAGAATATGAACAGGCGTTATTCTGGGGAGACTTTGAAAAGGACGATAGACGAACAATGGAGCAGAAAGTAAACGCAACCATTTACAAAAACATCGACTATGTGAAAAGAGCGGTAGGTCACTGATCAACTCGTTTCAGTACAACGTCCCAAGCGCGAAATAATTGTAGTTGAAAAATCGACGTTCCACCGCTAGCTTGAAAGCAAGGTCAACCGTCGCTTAGGAGTCCGTCAAGTATGGTAGCATTCGGCCCAATGAATGGCAGGGACATAATAAGCGCAGGAGCAGCGGCGGAATTATGAGCATATTTCTTTGATTTATCGACGGAGTTGCGACCTGTAATGAAAAGGCACAGACTTTCAAGTGCCTTTGTGAGAATTGATGGAATGAAGTGATCTTTCTTGACTGAACCAAAGTCGGAAATGTGCGATTATATCAACGAATCGATATCCCGAAGAAAAAATCCACGCTATATCAGTATCTAGGAATTTCGCGACAGTTGTGGGCTCAGAAGCCCTCGCGTGAAAAAAAACAAGAATTGGAAAAGTCACAAAGTGCATAAGGAACTTTTTCGACAGGTTGGTTTCCAAGGTGTATTCCACAGTGACTGGAAAATTCAAACATCTTACTCTTTATCCTAACTTCACGTTTCTTACATATATATTAAAAAGTTGTAAAGATTTGAAGATTGAAAAAAAAACAATGTGCTCGGTAAAAGCGAGCTGATTTTGCCTAACTAGCGGAAGCATTTAATTACCATGGAACTTTGAATGCTTACCCAGATTGTCGATGGAGCTTAAGTTGTCACAAATATGCGACTCATAACTGCAAAATGATACTGGCAAGGGACTTGAGAGCAGTCAAAGTTGGCTGGGTGTAAAGCGCTACTTATGCTCTCAAGGAATTCGGGGGGGGGGGGCGCTTGTTGTGGAGTAGCGATAGTGACCTCATTCTGCAGTCGGTATGTCGTAGATTCGCTTCTCGTTGAAACGCGAATTTTTGTCGTCGTGGCTGTATCCAGCAGAGGGGTTTCCTAATGGGGAAAGACACACGGTGCCAAAACGCCAAAACGGATGTCATTTTTGGAATCGGAATCGCTGCATAAGATTTCAAACGATTTGATGGAAAAATTGTATCGGCAATTAACACCAGATTGAGCCCGAGGCAAAAATTTATGTCGTATACTTATGATCAATGCGCTTGCCTATTTCTACAGTTAAGGCATCGGATTAAATTTAAAATTTGACCCACTTTGAGCCCCAACGATAAATGCTATCGAGGGACTTGGATAAATGCTCCACTTCGTCCTTACAAAAAAAGCAACCCTTTCCCAGAGCGGACACTGACCTTCACCCAGAGCGATGGTCCAGAGCATACAGACAAAGGCAATATCAGGTCATCTCCGTCTTGGGATCTCTTCGGGTTCTCGTCCTTTCAACTGGCTAGTTTCACTCCTTACAACACGAGATCTAACTCTTTAACGAATACAGATCGCGACAGCAAAATTTGGCAAAATTCCGCCTCCTAATGGGAAGAGAACCCATGACCAACCCCCTGCAGAATACCCTATCAGTCTCCACGGCGAGCCCTGAGAGGACATACAGTATTGAATAAGTATAACATAGTATTTAATCAAAATTGGAAGGGCACCAGTGTTGCCTGGTAGGAACGCATCTGGAGCTACTGCACACAAAATTGCAGTGCTATGCACGCGTCAACTCTCTGAAGCAATTACAACAACTTCTCTAGAAACTTTTTAGATTGGTGAATTGAAAAGTGAAAGCGCTAACTTTGGGTGCCACTGCAATTACTATAGTGGAGACGAAAGGGACGACATGGACATCAATTGCTTCTTCCAATGAGTTTTCTATCATTTCAGTGACTTTGTCAGATTTGTGCTGAATCTGTACAATAAAGAATTTTTGCATGAAAATTTTCCAAACAAGATATTGTTGAATAAACGGAATTCCCAAATGCCGATGATAACTACTTATTTACAAGCTACACAGTGACATCAGCAGATATCGATGAAATGCGCCCAAATTTAGCCCCTCCGACAAGCTGAATGTTGCTGATCTCCTCTTTGAACTGGATCGAGCGACATTGTGACACGTATATTTCGGGAACACCTAGGGATGTTTTTGCAATTATTGCTCCTGGAATATGAAAAACAATTACCTTGAGGAGGCATCGAGTTGAAACAGCCTCCAACAACAACTGCCAAAACGCGATTTCGGGAGCCTTGAGTGTTTTTCTTTTCGAAGCTTCTACTGTTTTCCGTCCTCCGTCATCTCTTACGGCAATGTGTGCCAGAATACAGCTTCTTCTAGCAAAAAAACGTCTACGGCAGACATAGCCGTAGAGGGTTGCTTGATTTCGATGGCCTAATTGAACAGAATTTCTGTTAATTCCATTTGTTAATCGGTAACAGTTGCACTTCAGCACACAGCTTTTTTCATGATAAACCGCGGAGGGTTTAAATGGTCTTGCTTGCTAGAGAATTTTGGCTCCTCTGTCAGCGACGATATTCCCTTGCTCTAGCCTACCGCCAGGACATGCCCTAGGCATGCCCTGATTCCTCCATCCTGTCTTTACCATGCTATTAGCCTTCAGGTATTCTTCTATTACTTTGGTTCTACGGCACCTCACCCAAGACGAATGCAGCTGTCCACGTTCTCCAGGAAAAAAAGCGTGTAAGTAACGTGACTGATCCCTGTGTTCATTCACACGAGCTTGGAAACATTTTCAAACACTGCAATCCTAAATACACTAGTGTGCTGACCTGAAATCATAAGTAACTTTCGCATGGTATCTCAGTGCTAGCTGAGCTAGGTTGACGAAATCGTTGAGCTGAGCCAGAAGCATATTTCACGTTTTCACTGGAGATGCGTGTATGCGTTGGGCAGAGCAGCAATTCGACTGTAAGCTCTCCAGCTGTCACTGAGGATGGTAGTACCGGGCTCGATATACTTCATGATGAGCCGCAGTAGAGTTGAAACTTCTTTCCTTCGGATCATCCGAAGGAGTCCACTTCCTCTTCCAATACCTCCAAACAGCAACTTGTGCCTGCGTACCCAACGTCGGCGGTTGTATTTGCGTTTGATAACCAGTGTTTTGTCAATTTCTATCTCGCACTCGAACCTTCCGATGATCGTCGGGTTCCTACTCAAAAGCCCCAAACATACGTTGCGGAAGAACCGCTCCCGCTGAATTGGTGTGGCCGACGTTGAGCTCGTATTCCTTGTCCTTCACCTTGCCCATGTCGCGCAGCCAGAAATAGGGCAGTGCGAACACCGTGGACTCAGGAAGGTTACAGCTCTCGGAAAAGGAATTTCGGAATCTTTCCGTAATGCTTTAGCAGCCTTCATCGCGGCCTCTAAAGCGCTACGGAAGGATTCCCCAACAAAAAATATGAAAACATTTCTTAACAAAAAGAAAGAAGGCAAGAAACTGGGTAATGAAATGCGAATTTAGAAATTCGCGCCCTTACCGCGACGCGAAGTGGCGTGGAGCGCGTTTTCTATTCGCTTGGGACGCGGAATCGAGGAAAAATGAAATATTAAAAGTTTCATTCGGGGATTCAGAAGATTTCTTTGCAAATTTAGGTTCCTTTATGTTTCTAGAGCTTCCTAGTTTCAGGTACCTTTTTTGTGCGCTTGCGAGTTTTCGACATTCAAGCACTCGTAACTGTATTCATAATAAACAGTTTGCAGATATTTAAGGCTAATTAGAAACTAGAGCTTCCAAATGAGTACATCGATCCCTCTCTCAAAAAATAGTCCCGTCGTTCCGTTTTTGTCACCTTGGTTTTTTTTTCAAGTCATTTTCATGAACCGCGACTATGCAGTCTTCAAAGGCCCATAACTTCCTTCAAAGTTGATGTGATGAAAAGCGGTAAGAACCGTTAGAATCTACTTGAAGAGTACTTTATAAAAAATGTCAAATTTTCCTGAAATTCCCTTTAATCCATCGATTTTTCTTAGGGCTATCTAGAAGTCAATTCAGCGCTCGCTACACTTTGTTCCGCTTAGAGTCAGTTTGAAAGCATCGAAATTCTCTTTAGGTTCTCTCAGGTCTCTTCAGTTTGTCTGCTTGCAGAGAAGGCGTTTTAATGAGAATACCGCCTGCTCGGGTTTGCGCCGTGCACCTTTCTGTGGTTGGAAGTCGCACTCGCATTCAAATCCTCCATTTTCCTGAAGAATCTATTAATATCGTGACTGAGTTGCATTGTATTGTTATATGGTGCTCTTGTTTCACTTCGCCATAAAGTGCTCTACAATGTTTTGTTCTTGGGATTTTAGGAATGTTCGATCATCGAAGGCAGACCATGTTTTTGCACTACGCTGCAACAAAGTTTTTGGCTATTGTAACCTTGACATATCCTGTAGAGCGAAAGCGCCCTCCGTGTATTAGGGATAATAATGGCTGATAGTGAGACTTATGGCGCTGTGCATGCTCTGACGATCCCACGGAGCTCTTGTCTGCGTGACTCTCTGACAGCTGCACCGTGCAGAGCTCCTAGAGACCATTAGACCGTAAAAGTGCACTGCAGGACATTGCACTTTTGAAGCTCCCATTGCAGCCCCGTCTTTCTGGATACGGCCCCCCTACCCCTTGGTTCGGTCGAATACGACCCCCTCGTTGTTCTTTGCGCAACGGGCGGTTGGCCCTGCCCTGATCTCGTTCGACGATCCAGTGCGGCACGCATGACGATTGCAAATCCAGGCGTTGTGCCGTTCGTCGTTGACCAGGCTCATGGATCGCTGACATGAATGGCACAGTGGCGCAGACATCAACCCCATGGATCGCAACCAGAAAGTGCAGATTATTCAACTTGAGCATCTCGAACACGTCCTTCGAGGCTAAGTCCAGTAGCTCTCATTGACGATTGTGTCGCTAAAGAGTAGCAAAAGCCATCGTTATTCTCCGTTGTCGAAAACGTGAAATATGCTTCTGGCTCCTCCCTGTCGTGGGAAAGTCTCCGATTCGATGAGCTTTTCCACGGTCTGACAGTCGGCGCTATGAGGAAGGTGCCTAAGAGTACGCTTTGACTGTGAAGTGTTGTTTGTGACACCACATGGAGCCGGCGTCAAGACTGGATGTTATATTCCTGATCAGGACCCCATAACCCCTATACACAAGTTTTCAGCGGATTTGGTGGAAACAGGGGAAAGGGCCAAATTGGCGCCAGCGCCAAAAACGGGTGTCGTTTTCGTAATCAGGATTCCAAGTAACCCCAAATGACAAAGTTTCAGCAGATTTGGTAAAAAAAAACAGCCATGGCGCCAAATCACACCAGGATCTAAAATGAATGTTGTATTCGTAATCAGAGCATCGAATTACCCCAGAGGCAAAGTTTCGACGAAAAATGAAACTTTGAGATTTTGGGGCAGTAATCGTGGGATAGTGCCCAATCCGGCAATGGGGTAAGGCTGGAAGCGATGGAAAACCAAAATTCAACTAGGGGAAGTAATGCATATCAGATAGGATTTTTCACGGGGGAGCTAAAGTGGTAAGTTTCAGGTCTGCGAGTTCATCTGGAAATGCAAAAAATCTGATCTTTCCACAAGGTCATGACGAGGAGGCATGTTTGGGGCCTACACTACGGAACGGAACGCTGCACCTTGGCAGGGCCGAGTTTTCCCTCATAATTCCTACAGGCAAGAGACCATAGTCTACGACAGTTGAGGAGATTCTTCGCTTGCTTCACAGCTTTCTACAAAACATTCCTCTGAAAATGGAAAATGTCACACCATAGGGCCACTTTGCCTGCTGAGAACTGTTCAAAGATTCCACTTGAAATAGAGAGGATGGGATGTTGAGAGCGGAGGGAACACGTAAAGCGAGTATGCGCTCAAAAACGAGGTGAAGGTCTAAGAATTCGGAAAATAACATTCATTTAATCTCACAATGTGTGGATGAGATTGAGTACGTGGCGCATTCTGGGGTAAGTTTTGAGACCCTTCTCTCTGTGTAGCGGTCAGCTCGCATAAGCGGGATTATATACACATCACATGCGAGCAACTATTTTTTGAGATGAAACTCGAGTGCATGGCACAATTCTATATGGAGCTTTTCCAAAGTATCAAAGCACATTTTCATAGTGTCCGACGAGCTAAATTCAAAGATATCTTCGGATTCTCGAAAAATCATTTTTTAACCGAGTTGTAACGAATTCATGACTTTCACGCGGAATATCGGGATTCGCGTGAATTTTCGATTTCAAACGGCGAGTACTGTAATACTAACCGGCCTATAATTGCTCGTATTATCTCACGGTAGCTTCTTAGGAATGGGACTGACAAAAGAGATTTTCCATCCTGGGGGAACTTCAGCTCTGAACAGGCTCAAGTTAAAAATAAATTTCAATAGACCTACGATGGAAGGAAGTACCGCTTTGATAAAACCAAGCGGTATCAAGTCCGGAGTAAGCCATGAACTGGATTTCCAACCGGATTAGATGTCAAAATCTCTTGTTCATTGAACCAATGAGAATCTTGCATTCGGGGGAAACAGCCAACCAAATCAAAGCCATCATTAAGCGAGCTACTATTAGAGGTGTAGATGCTTTCAAAATAATCTGCGAAGTATTCCGCCTTGTCATAATCCGCGACAACTCGAAATCCGCCCGGTTGCACCAGAGCAGGGAGTTTTTCTTTAGACTTGAATCGGTATGAGATGTACTTAAAGCGAGAGATTACGATAAAGGGCGTATGCAGCGTGGAAGTACATGCACCATTGGGAGCAGTAGTCAGGGGCCCAAGGAAACGAAATGTTGCGTTTTTGTGGTCAAAGGTGCGCTAGTTGCAGCGAACAAGGCTTGCCATTCCTTTCTGAGCCCCGCCACGGTCTGTGCTCCGCC